ATTAGAGAAAATGATATTTGTTTTTTTTTAATTTTGAATTTTAGTTTTATGCAATTTTTAAAAAGATCTCAAGCCAGAGTTTAAAAATAAAAACTTTATTTTCAAAAATGTTAGTTTTTGTGTAAATTGATTTTAAGTTATAAAAATTATAAAATCAGTTCTAAATAAAATATAAAAGTGTTTATTTCATTTTTTTAAAGAGAAAATTTAAATATTTCAATTTTTAGGGATTAACATAGCTAATCATTAATTTAACAGGTCAAACTATAAGAGTTCAATTCAAGCAAAATAAATAACAAAGACCTAATTTAAAATTGAGAAAACATTATAAAGACTTGCAGATTAATTTTTTTTCTATATATTAATCCTACATGTTTTCTTTGCCACAAATTAATATAATAATAAATAAGAAATTTAGGATTGTATTTTCAAAAGAAATATAGTGTTTAGAAAGTTAATTCTATTCGTGACAAATAAATTAAAAAAAATAGTTGACTGAAACTTAAAACAAAAGAGGTATTACATGATGGCAAAGCAAAATAAATATTGATCAATAGGCGCAAGTGGCAATTAAAATTAAGGAAAAATTACATATAGTTTTTGCAGAGCAAACTTATTTACAAATAAATTCTATAAAATTCAAAAACCATGGCCAAATCCTTTGGGACCTGATTGTAATTTGAAATTAAGGTTAAAAGACAATAATGCCCATATTAAAAATATATTATATTAATCAAATAATTTACAACTATTTCATCAGTAATTTACAACTATCACTTCAACTTTTTACAACTATAACTTCATATATTTAATAATTAAACTAATTATGTATTATTAACAAAGTTTAATATTAATTGTTTACAATCACTGGTTTACAACTATCACATCACATATCCAACAGTTAAAAGGTTTGGATATTTAACGTAAAAAGTTAAAATTATAATTGTAAAAAGGTAAAGTGATAGTTGTAAATTATTTGATTGATGTAATGCATTTTTAATAGGGGCTTTATTGTCTCTACACTCTAATTTCAAATTGCATTCAAGTCCAAGGACTTGGCTGTAATTTTTAAATTTTACAGAACTTATTTATAAATAAATCTACTCTAAGAGACCTAACATAAATTTCCCATTAATTAAAGCCGTTAATAATGACCACAAGGAGATGAAAAAAAAAAAAAAAAGACAAAACAAAATGAAAAGCCGTTCGAAACGGAACTCCGCGCATGGTGAAACTCGATTAGCGCAAGTAGGATTTTATTGTATATTTGGATTCAAATATCAGAAATATATTTTTATTTTTTTTAGGTTAAAGTGTGCTATTAAAACTTTGAAGTTTATACAGTTTCATTTTGGTCTTTTAATTCTATAAAGTGTATTTCCAATTATTTAATCCTAATACTGTGAATTTCATTGAAAAAATTATATTGAAGTTTTAAAAATTGACAGATTAAACATTCTCAAATGTTGATTTATTAAATTTAATTTTTTAAAATAATAATAATTAGCACACAAAATAATCATTTCACACTAATGGTGTTTGGTTTAAAGGACTAAAAATATATTTTATAAAATTAACAGAGCAAATTAAGACCTCATATAAGATTAGAGGACTAAAAGTATATTTTATTTTTTTCTATATTTAATGATTTGCATGAAATATAAAGAGAAACATTTCAAATATAAGATTTTCTCCGGGCAAAGACCCTACGCAAGGATCCCTACATATTATAATTTATTTAGTTAAAAATATAGAAAAATATTTAATTGGGAAGAATATGCAATGGATGAAATTTATACTGAAAATATGAAGAAGGCTTAAAAACCTCTAAGAACAAACGATGAATGCTATAAGAATAACAAAAGAGAGGTGTAGAAAAGTTAAAATCATATATATATATATATATATAGACGTGAGTGGCTTGAAGAGTATGGTAGAAATGAAGTATGAAAGAAGACTATACTTGAGGAGGTGGAGGAGGAGATCATAGTTGTGACTATATCTCTTTGTTAACTTAAAAAAACACGTCATCTCATTCACTAGTATAAAATAAATGAATAAATAACCGTTTCTACACTGCTAATCTATGTCAGTTATGGGCAAAAAAAAAAAAAAACAATTTAGAAAAAAAGATGGGTGGCAAACGCGTGTGTATGATGTGTCTTAACTGATGTAAAAAAAAACATATTCTTCATTATTTTTAAAATTCTTAAAAACTGACATAGAATATCAATGAAACCACATCTTTTGTTAATAAATTAAGCAACGAGGGATGATATATTCTGTGTTGGTTCTCAAGGGTTAATGAGAGCATCCTGGATTCTAAACTATTAGTTAAATAGTATCTTGAAACCTGAACTTTTAAAATGAGCAAAACCTCTCTTTAATTTGTAAATTCCTAACAAATTATCCCCTATCGTTTATCCATACAATGTTGACCGTTACGTAACTCAATTGGCATGCCACATGTCAAGAGGAGATTAATACCACATCAGCCTTTGACTGAGCCACACAAAGTTAAAAATAATGGCAGTTATATGTAAATTAACGGTGGAGGGTAATTTGCTCGAAATATGTAAGTTGAAGAGAGTTTTTACTCATTTTAAAAGTTTAAGGTTTAAGATGCTATTCGAGTAATAATTTAAGATGCTCATCAACCCTCTAAAGAACACCGACATAGAAGAGTTTTATTTCTTCCTCCCGCTTGTTGGTCTCCCTTCATTTTGTAATTTAAAAATGACCATATTTACCCATTTGGTCTATCTTCTTAGTTCTTTTCCATTTTCATCTCTCTTTCCATCGCATTAATTCTCTTCTTCATGTCCCTTATCAAATGACTATTTACAAATAAGGATTAATAACAAGTCCTATTTAAGAAAAAACAAGCCATGTTTCCATTTTAACAACAATTTATTTTATATTGGTCCTTCTCTGTGAATAATTTTTGAGGGGTTCTTGAATGCGATTCTTCCAAAAAAAACACCATATCTTGTGATTTTGGAAACTTGCATGACTACAAGTTGAAACTTGAGAGTATATATCAAAGAAAGTTAATTTGAGCAAGGACAGACAGACAGACACACACCCACACAGAGGGAGGGAGGGAGGGAGGGAAAGAGAGGGAGGGAGGGAGAGAGGGAGTACCCAATGTCTTCCACCTTTCCTGCTAAATGATGTGGTGGGATGACTCTTTATTAACACACATGTAACATCTATCCTTCTTCTTTTTTTAATTTAATTTATGTTTGAAATATTAATTTTTCCATCTTATACGTTTAAAGCTTAAAAGTGTACTATTTAAAGTAGTATATATAACTAAAACTTTAAAATGAGATTAAAAAAATTAAAAATATATGCATTATACATAATTATCGTTTGAAAACTTGAATGACTCTTAAATAATACTTATGTTAAAGAGAGGTATTTAACTTTAATCCAAAATATGTTATTTAGTTGTCAATTATTACGTGGATAGATGGGAATGAAATTTTAAAAATAGAAAGTAGATATGTGCATGTTATGAAAATGTTAATTTCAAGGGAGGTTTATATATATATTTATATAAAATAAAGAAAGATCTTTGTAATTAAGATAAAATAGAGGAAAGACTAGTGTATTTTACTCTAAATATATTTCAATTGACGAAAATATATAACACACACAACGAAAAAGAGAATATAATAGTCAAAATATATACTAACCTTCCTTGCCAGATTCCTGTACTGTTGACTGATGCCTTTTTTTTTCCCCCCTCTTCTTTTTATAGAAGAACAATCCACCAAATAGAAAACTAAAATGAACAATCCAAGCACGAATCTATATATAGTACAAACTGCGACCAAAAAAGAAGGGAACTTCAATAATCATCGCATACATAACAAGTATAAGAAAATGAGCATATATAAGATAATGATATTGCCAATCTCCCCTTTTTTAATTTTAAAGAAGATCAAATCAATTAGAGAAGAAAAATGAAATTAAGAATTTTGATTAAATGGGGTCTTTTAAGAAATACTTTAGGGTTAATATAAAACAAAATAAAGTTAAAAGACTAAAATTAGTCTTGCTGTAAAGTTAAATGATCGAAGATATATTTTTTCTAAGACTTTATTATACATACTGCATTTTTATTAATTTAACCTTAGAATCTGTCATGCTTTGTCTTTGACAATAGAAAGTTGTATAGATATGACATTAAAAAAATATGTTTTTTAATTTTTTAATTTTTTTGAAAAAAATAGTAGAGATAAATTAAAATGAAAATTGATGGTAAATAAAAGGATAAATTTAGCAATAATGAATCGTAAAATTCGCAGATTCAAAATTAATCATTATGAGATTTACAACTAACTAGATGGATGACATATTTTTTTTTTAAAACAAAACATGCATGTACTTGTTCACCAAATTTTTTTATTTTTTTAAAATATATACTTTTAGATTTGTTTTTAAGTTTTTATTTGAAAAAATAGTAGAGATAAATTAAACTGAAGAACGATATAAGAATAATAACTAAATGAAAATGAGTTACAGGTAGTTTTATTTATTTTTTAAAAGAAAAGGATTTGAATTTTCGACGATTGATGACACCCCATACCCACTCTTGTGGGCTTAAGCTGGATTCAAGTGGCTGATTTTGGCCATTTCAAATTATGAATCTTATTCTCAAAATATTTGTATATCACATAATTTTGTCAATTTATTAATAGACAAACATTTGGTTATAACACACACACAAATGAATTTTTAGAATAGACAAATAAAAAATAAAATCGTCAGTGAAATTTACTTTCTAATTTTGAATTTTAGTTCTCACACCCTAAAATATAAGAGTGACTAGCATGAGATATATGCAGAAACATACTTCCTTAAAACCTCAGTTAAGAAAAATTCTAAATTAATACATCTAACACACTATTGGCATGCTTATATGTATGTAATTTTACTTTTCCGATAGATCAAAATTTCAAACTTCTTGTAAAAATTTCTACAACAGCTCCCTAAAAGTAGGATCTCTTGAAATCTCTATAACAAAAATTCTTACAATATGCATCCAGCATTATGGAGCTTTGCTCCTCTATAACAGATAGGCAATAAAACAAAAAAATTATAATCTTAACTATAGTTGTCACACTCGAAAATGCAACTAGGACGTCGGGCGAGAGCGGGGGTTTTTGACCTTCAGAAAGAAGACCAGATTAAATGAGTCACCACTAAAATTTTAAGAAAAAAATCTTGGAAAACCGTTTAAAGGAGATAATGATGGTTTGCGAAATCAAAAAATAAGTTCAAGAGTCGATTGAGTATGGGAAAGATGTTAGGCACCCCACAACAACCTGTTCGTGAGAATAGTTACTTGAAGTTTGTTGTACTAAATTAATATGGCTTTACAATTATTTTAATTATCCCTTTCTTATTCACGTGTTTTAAAAACATATATGATTATAATTAAGTGAGAAATATTCATTTATTTACAAGGGACGACTTGACTTAGAATTAAATTTTAAAGCCTACATACCCTATGATGGAGATCAAAGTCTATATAGTTGGGGATAAAGATTAGTGTCAATAGTTTTCTTTATGATTTTTATGAAAAGAGAAAGTTAAATGAAAATAATTTATCAATTGCAAACAAAACAATTTTCTAAAATGTGGGTTGGTGTGTTTTAATTTGCAAAAATAATTTAGCTTCACTTTCTTACTCCCATTTTATATTTTGAAAATGTTTTCGTTGTTATACTTTCTCTTACTTTGGAGATTTCCTTTGTCAACATAAAAAAAAAGTAATTTTAAAATATTTTTTTATTTAATATGCCTATGGAGACTTATTGTCACTTGTGGACATACAATGGACCTTAATGCCTTTTAAAATGATGTTTCCCTTATAATACGAAGTCTTAAATTATTTACTAAATGTTTTATTTTAACATTTTTCTCATGTTATATATTAAAAAATTATTCAATAGACATTCAATATACCTATGGAGACTTATTGTCACTCATGACAGTAGAATGAATTTGATGTATATGGTGACTCAACATTACTCATGGTAGAAAAAGGTGAGGTAAAAATAAATAAATAATTATTTATTATTTAATTGCATATCATGATTTAATTTATTTATTATTATATTTATTTCCTGTGAGTATGATCATTGTTATTGTTAAAAGATAAAAAACATAGATAAATAATAACAATAGTTTATTATTATTTTTTAAAAAAGATTTTATTATATTTTAAAAAGAATTATCATTTGATTACTATTTAATCCATTTGATTCACTATTAGCCAAAAAAAAAGGGTTTGAAATAAACTATTTTTTAGATAGTAAATCCTTGAAGATGATTTTAAACCAACTCCTATGCCAGTTTATTATTAGTCACAGTTTATTGATTAGTATCTAAATATCTATAATGACTTGGTGCCCTCGTAGAAAGGAAAAATGAAGAACTTGCATTCCCACTTCTCAAATTTTTTTTTTGACGTTCATTTTTTAAAAAAATTATGATAAATAAAGAATCAAAAATATTCTTGATATACAAACGTAAAATATAATCAATATTAGTACACGTGAAGATTTAATATCTCTCATAGCCCATTAAGTATAGACCTAAATGCTCATGGGGACTTAATGTCCCTCATGGCAAAAATCTAAAATAAATAAGTAAATGACCACTAAGATATAGTTAAAAGATAAAATAATTACCCTAAAAAAAGAAATTATCATCTCTACAATGTTCAAGAGAAGGAAAAGATTATGACTTTTGACAAAATGGTCAAATTATTTCATTCATCCTTATATGTTAGCTTGTCCAATATTTTTTATGATTTTAGTTTTCATACTAGACATAGTCACAATAGAGTTAATAGTTACTTAAGAGAAACTCAACCATTTAGAAATAACAAAAGGTCAAGATTTTGAATCTTTCCACTAGGTTACACATTTTTTCACACCATGAAGAAAATCTGAAAATTCTTTAACCATGATCACAAAGAGGATTCCATCACACCATTTACCAAATGAAAGAGAAAAGAAAACAAAACAAAACAAAATAAGCTTTCATGTTCAGCAAATTCGTGCAAGAGTATCATATAATCAGTCACAACAAGAAACGTCCTTATGAGGCTAAAACATGGATAGGTCCCATGGCTCTCAAGTTCATAAAATCAAGACCTGGGTTCAAGAAAATCACATTCCCTTGTAACATAAAGCAGAGTAAGAGGATTTCCAGAATTAATTCTGTATTCTTGATCAAAATAAGACTGTTGCTTTAAGATGGTAAACCAAAACATGATTTTAACAAGGCAATATCCACAACATAATCTCAAAATTTCCTCATACAGCAACCCAATGTGTAGCAAGAAGCAAGTTTATATATGATTAAATTACAAAGGGAAAAATTTATTGCGAGCAAAAAATAGAAAACCAACCAGAAATCATGAACCCAAAAATTTCCCACTCTATCTGTTTTTTTTTTTTTTCTCCTTTGCTAAGACAACCCCCAAAATTCAAGTTCTTAAGAATAAATGGCAACAGAGAGACAGAGGAGCCACAGAACAAATGAAAAAAAAAATGTAATCTTACTAGCCACAGAACAAATTTCCCTATCTACACTTGATTTCTACCTCTCCTTCCCTTAGCCTTCCAATCCTCGCCTACTCTCTTAAATCGCTCCTTCTCTCTGAATCGTCTCCTCTTTTTTTTCTTTTTTTGACCTCTCACCATCTCTACTGGTGATCCCTCCTAAAAATTTGCCAGATCTCCCCCCTAAAAAATCCTCTCCTCAAACTCTTGGTCCAGTCCTTTTATAGATGTTGAGTGTGATTAATAAATCTAAAATCTTACCAGATTCAGCTTTAGAAGTTTGTGTGGGAAATGGAAAAACTGATTGCATGCTCTGCTCTTCCTCGTGTGGCCGAAAGGCTTTAAGGCTGCTTTCCGCGTTTCTGGGTTTCTCCTTCTGCTTTTCATGCGTGTGCCTTCGTATCTTTTGCTCTCTGCTTCCATTGCTTCTGACTTTTCTTTCTTCTCTACTTTGTTTCTTGTCTGTTGTGTGCTCAGACGAGTCTGCTCTCTCTATCACTTTTGCTCTGCATTTCGTGACTGGCGTGTGTTCTTCTCCTTCTTCTTTTCTGCTGGGTTTTCGTCTGGTCTTCCCTTCTCGCGTGTCTGGCCAAAAGTTGTTGTCTCCTTTTTGTTCCTCTGTTCCCTCTCTGTGCACGCGAGTGATCTCCTTTTCTTCTTCTTGCCGTGAAAGGCAATTTAGGGCTGGCTGATTCATCATTTCACCCGCCCATTTATTTTTTATTTTTTATCTTTTTTATTAATCAAATTAAGAGAGAGAGAGAGAAATTTAATTTTGAAATATATATTTATTATTATTTTTTATGAAAAAAAATAAAAGTTAAAAAGTTAACTCTCAAAAGTTGATTCCCAATATTTTTGGATAGATGGGATAATTTAGGAGAGATTTTTTAAAGATTTAAGCAAGATTTTTTTTTAGATTTTGTTAGATTATTATTATTATTATTATTATTAAAAATATAATTCTAAAAAGGATTAAATTTTGTTTTTATATTTTTATATATTTTTTTGGTTATTTTAATGAACTAAAAGAAATAAAATCTTAACCAACAAAATATTATCTAGGTTAAATTAAAATTAAACCCTATTAATTAAATTTTTTTTATTTTGAAAATATAACCCTAAAAAGAATAGCATTCATTTTTGTATTTTTATATTTTTTTTGAATTTATTATTATTTTTGTTAAATTTAAAAAATGTTTGGACAACATACAGTGTTTACAATAGTCAATGTGGAGTACTCTAAATCATATTTCCAAACATACTACATGAATTTTAGAATTTACATAAAAAGAAAAATATTCTCATAACTAGTCTACTAGTCAATTCAACAATGAACCGATCAAAGGTCAACAAGGGGTACCATGTTAGCTATGCTATTTGAGACTAACAAAATACTTTTCAGTCAATAACGTTCCAACAATAACATTTTGTAAAATTAAAATGAATAAAATATAACTACATAAATTAAATGAGAAGGCAATTCAATGTAAACAAATTCATAAACTTGGAATAAAAGTTCTCTATAACCTCAATAACAAGAACATTTAAATCTAAAATGACAAAACAGCTTTAATTTTTGATCTTAATATTTCAAAATGATTAAATAAATAAATAAGAATAACAATATTTACTAAATTAAAAACCATTACGTATGAAATCACCAATTAATTAAAATTCATCTAGTTTTGGGGAATTTATCAAAACAATTTACAAACAAGAACACATGGTCCATGAGAGTAAATAACTAAATATGACTTATGCCACCAAGACAAATGTGGATGCATAGTCTACAATGGTAAGTGACTAAATGCAGCATGAGCTATGAAAATGAACGTGGGCACATATTTCACAAGAGTAATACTAGCCAAACACAGCTTAAGCTACAAAACAAGCATAAACACATAGTCTATGAGGGTAATGCTAACCAAACACGACCTGAAGCCACAAAATCAAACGTACATACAAGACCCACAAATAACAAACGTGAATGTGATACACACGAATATCAAACATGAGTACTATGCCCACGAACACCAAACTAGCTAGGTTTTAGTCATGGCGTACTAAGGGCTAATGAAACTGCTATTAGAAACTAACATTATATATAAAGTCCCCTTCAAATACATTTTCAACGATGTGAGAAATTCATCACTATAAAAATATAGTTCTCATTGTCAAAGTCAAACTCGCATGAATTATTTTGAACATTAAAAACTTGCCAAAATAAAATTTCATAACTAATGTCCATGGTTGGCATTTACTGAGTAACCCAAAAATAACTAGAGTTGATAAAAATAATCTCATAAATTTTGAAAGTATCCTTCATAAGGAAAAACACATACACATGCCATAATTCAAATATCCTTCAACATCTCTTTATAATTTTTCAAGATAAAAATAATTTAATTAATAGAGTATTAAATATGTAATATAATTGTTATTAAATGATCTATGTAAAACAAAATATTTTGGGAAAAGAATGTTATTTATAAATTAGTTGAGACACTATCCACTTACCTGAAGGGTTTCAAAATATAACTTGCTTTCAAACCAATCTTCTTGCAACATACTTGGCCTTTAATTTCCTAATGCCCAAATAATTCTATAGTCATTTTCCTATGTACACTTTACAACCCAAAATCTATAGTCCAAATTAATTCAAAGGAGCATAAAAAATAAATTTTAACTCCAGCATTTTTTTTAAACATTGCATCAATTATTACATAGATATTTTAAAGACTAACATATTAATAGCAATTTAGCTCATGAATTATCAATCAAGATACCTATTCCAAAAATCTTTACTTTCAGCCTCAATTTCCATTATAAAGTGTGTTTTATAATATTTTAACTAACAATAATACAACCATCACAAGCATCTTGCCATTATATGTTAGATTCCTCTAATAAGTATTTCAACAAACAATTTGCAAGCACTGTTGTTTAAACCATGATACCAAGCCCTCTTCTCTTCTAATCTCCTTATCATATATAAAAGGGTTTTATTAGATTTTCTACACTTTCAATAAACTTCCTTCTAATCTTAACACAACATAGTCAATCCAAATAATTCAAAGCTTCCCCAAACATCATATTGTATATCAGAGTTTTTCATATGACTTTCTCCATAACTAAATACTCCATTAAAATGCAATTTCTTATTAAACTTTTTGTCAAGATATCAAATGTACATTATTTCCAAATCCTACAATAAAGCTTTTTAGCATTCGAATTCTTGTCCAATAATTTATCAACAGCCATACCATCCTCAAGAATTTAAATAGTTACATATTAACTTCATAATCAAACTCCTTTGCAACCTTCAAGTTAAGTTCATGGACCAATAATACCCAAAATAAACATACTTCTCAAAAAAAAATTAATGAAATTTTAGAAGAATACAAAATCAAACAAAGCTTCTTCTAACCAGAATTTTGTCAAACACCTTTCTTGCATTAATCCTTAAACTCAAGCCAAACTTCTTCCTCCTCAATTCCAGCCCCAAGAATTTTTACAATAAAGTTATTTGAAGTAATGAAACATCCCAAATCTCATTTCTTCAACTAAAAATCTGTTTTAAGCTCAATGAAAAGCCATATTCACATTTATCTTCGTCAGTAACAGCCCCAAACAATCATACTAAAATTACCTAAAAGAAATGTTCTCATACACTCCAATCTTCGGCCACTTGAACACAGATAGATTCAACACTAGCAAATAAGAGAGGAAAATCAACTTACCAACTGAGCACTCGAAGAATGGAGGAAGAGAATACAGCCACGCTAGAATAATGGCGTCGCAGATTGGAAAGACTTGGGGCGGCAAGCTCGAACTGCACAAAGAGATGAGAGGAAAATCGGTGCAAAAGTGCAGAACAGGGGAAGATGATGGATTGTACCTTGTCTGAACCCCTTTGCGACGGCAAACTCACGGCATCACGACTCCCACGCCAGCGACCGACTAGGAACAGAGAAGGAAAGAGAAGAAATCAGAGATGACAGAGGGAGAGGGCGGAGGATGATTTTTCAGATCGGGGGTGCAAAACTATAGGGCAACGAACTTCTCTTGCTCCCATACAGTCCAGGTCGAGGAAGGAAGAAGGAGATTCCGAAAATCTCATGGCTACCGGCGACGCACAGAAAGGAAGGCGGAGAAGGCACGATCTTTGTCTCACTCTCTCTCTCTTTCAACCATGAACGAAGTGAAGGAGGGAAAAGAAAATCTTAAGCCGTTGGTTTAAGATTAAAAAATAAATAATTTTTAAATAGTTTAAAAATTTTATAAAAAAATATTATTTTATGCTTGATTATAATAATAATAAATAATTATTAGTTTATCTTTTTAAATTTTATGATATTTTTCTTAATTTTTGTTTTATAAAAATGATATATTATTATATCATTTTAAAATTTTATAATATCTTTACATACCATGTATTTTTAAAATAGTTTTTTCATTCATCGCATTAAATTATTTTTAAAAGTTATTTAAAGTAACTTCTTAAAGTAATTAAAAATTTAATTTTTTTTATTTTTGATTATTTTCAAAAGTTTAAACAAATATAATAAAAATTTACAAAAGAGATTCTTTTCAAAAAATAAGTGATTTTTTTTTTCTAAAATAAGTTAAAACAGACGAGCCCTAAATCTACCTCTCTCTCTTTTCTTTGTTTTTTTTTTTTGTTACAGGAGGGCAAAAATGGAAATTTTGCGTGGATGAAGCAAAAATCATAATGTTCATTTTGGCACCACTAGAATTCGAATACAGCACCTGTTAAGCAAGGACCAAGAAGAAGTCCACTAAACCACCAACACATCCGGTGTTTTTTTATTTTCGCTAGCATTTAATAAAATATAAAATAAATCTATGTCATTATTCATTCTAACTTTATAATTATATTTCAGGGTTATTACACCAGTTTTGTGAAACTTCCATCTATATATGTCATACAAGTTATAACCATTTTATCATTCTTCATGGGTGGAGCTATTGAAATTAATCAAAGTACAATAAGGGTGCAAAGTTTGGAGATGGAGTTCATGCGAGAGGTATTGATTCTACAGTTTGGAAAGATATTTTTCTGTGTGGCATCATAGGTAGGGTATATGGATTAGAAATGTGAAGAGTAGAATCATTAGGTTAAGATTAGGAATGGTTGGCGAGTGGTTTGGTTTTAGCCAATGAAGCAACCAAGGAGATTCCTGATGAATTAAGAAGATGGAAAGTTAGGGATGCTGTGGTTGATAATGAATGGTGGAATTGGGATGTGCTAAAGGAATTTTTGTCGGATGAAGTTTGAACATGCTATACTCCATTTTTCCGCCTGTGAGGAGCATTTAGCAGATTTAGCGTATAGGTGTGAAAGGGTATGCAGACTATGACTAAGGGTTAGAGGATGTTGAGTGAGGATTCTTAGGGGTAGAAGGACTTATTTTGGAGATGTATTTAGCTGTGGCCAGTAATTGAAAGAATTAATTTTTTTTTTGTGGCTTGTAGTGTTGGAATATTTATGAAATATATATATATATATATTATGAATTTGCATTAATTAGATATTAAGCTTAAACACATTGGTCTTTATGATCTTGTGTAGATCGTGATAGGTGGAACACACAAGTAAGTTCAATGGGTAAAGGTTCAACTTACAACCCTATAGTAGTTAGTTATTATCTATCTCTTAACTAACTGAGTCAA